GGCGTTAGCACAGGGTGGCTGGGGCCGCGGAAGCCAGCAGCCTCCCTGTACTTCTGAAACACATGAGACTCCCAGGAAAGACTGGGAGACTTTGGTCACTCCCTTTGGACTTGAAGATCAGATCACAGCTCTCACAGACAGGATGCAAAGGGAATTGAGTTAAAGGAAAGTTGAGACACACAGCAGAGGTTCCCTTGGGATCCCCTGGTGGGCTAAATACTCTCACCCCACGTCTCTGCCTGGAGCACTCCGAGCGCCTGGTCACATGGAATCTCGGGTATGGAAGATTCAGGGAAGAGCTTCTCCATGTGCCAGTGCCCAGTGGCCATGCCAACTGCCCTGTCTCCATGGGACCCTCCTCCCAGGTTGGAGATGCGGGCCCTGGGCTTTACGTGGGTGTCTGCTAATGCAGGGTCTATGCCTCGGCAGCAGGGGGGGGCCCTTTTCATGCCTCCATTCTGGGCACTGGGCAGGCCTGGCTCCACTGGACCAGGGACCCTTAGCCTGGCCACACATACGGATCCATCAGGAAACTTTGCAAAGGACCGATGCCCAAGTTCCACCCCAGCCAGTTCATTCAGAATGGCTGAGGGTGAAGCCCGGGCGCAGGTATTTGTCTTAAAAGGCTACTGAAATCTGGGCGATTCCAACATGCGGTCAGGACTGAGGGCCACTACGTGGACGGGTAATGGTGGTGTTCTTGTTATCCTTTTGGGGAAGAGCCATGAGCTGTGAACCTCAGTGTTGCTTTTCCAGTGTTTTCTCCCATCACACTTCATAGTATCGGGCCAACGCGTCTCTCTTTCCTTAGTTTTCCATCCTAACGCATGACTTGTATTCCTTTTGTCTTTGCCATTCTGTTCTGTTGAGCTGATCTTTTTATGGTAGCCTTGGTCTCTTTCCTTTTATTCTGCCTTTCTGGGTGTTAATATGTACTTATTGATTTACATTCCAGCGTTTGATGAATACCTGCTGCGACAGGCAGCGTGCGAGCTGCTGGGGACACGGTGGGCCCTGGAAGGCCAGGTCTCGTGGAGGTGTCTACCGTGACTTGTCCCATCGTTCTTTCTCTTTTTTCTGTGATATTTTAATTTTTTTTTTTTAATAGACATACATCACTGGTCCCTTCTTCATTTTGTCTCTTTTACACTGGAAACAGCTTGGGTGAGCTGGAAGGTTGGGTGGGGTGGGTCCTCAGGGAATCACCAGGGCGGGGCAAATAGTGTGAGCCAGGTGGATGGAGTCTCAGATATGGGGGCTGCCTGCTGGCTCTGTGTGTGTGTGTGGGGGGGATCCTCAGAAAAGGAACAATGGTCTCTGCCAGCACTTCTATCTGGAGAAAGTTGTCCCTCCAACTCTCACGTTAAAGCCACACAATTCAATTCCTCCCCATATGTTTCTTTCAGCCTTTTAAGCTGCTGCCCTTGGGCTGGAGCTCAGAGGGAGTGAGTGGAGAGTCTATACACAGGCCCTTTAAGAGGAGTTGCCTGGGACTCCAGAGCCTCTGTCTCCCTCAGCCTCGATCTCTGATGGTTTTTACAGCCAGAAGTTATGGGGATTTCCCTTCCTGGCATGGGAACCCTGCCCTGGAGGGCCGTGTGGGGCTGGGACCCTTGCTCTTCAGAGAAGACCTCCTCAGCCCAGTGTCTCTTCCGAGTTTTGTCTGCCACATGTGGGTGTGGGACAGCCCAGTCCTCATGTCCACCCCTATAGGTCTTTAATTGCCTACTTGTGGGGCTTCGGCAGCAGCTCAGTTTCTGGTGGTTCTGAATGATGGCTGTTCTGTAGTTCAGTTGTAATTGTGATGTGGTGGCGTCTACAATTCCAATTGTGCACTCTTCCCCAGCCCCAGAGCTAATGCAAGCATTGTTTTTAGCTCCTATTTATTTTATTTTATTTTTAATCCTCACCCAAGGATATTCCTAGCACAAGGGAATTTGGTATAGCTGCATCTTTTAACTAGAGGGAAAAACAAACTTGATTTCTATTTTCTCAAAGTTTAGGGATATCTTTGTGGATCGGATCTACTACTCTCTGAAGTACTGGTTTTCAGGTTTTTATATATATTTTTTACTGTGATCAATATTATGAAATACATATTGCATCACCCCATGTAGCTGAAACAAAAATTTCCAAAAACGTAGTTACCCTTACCAAATGCCATGCCCTTGGATAGTTTATATCCTACTTAATTTTTTCTAAATCTTTGCCTAAGGATATTTTTCCATTTATCTTCAGATAGAGTGGGAGGGAGGGAGGAGGGGAGGAGAGAGAGAGAGAGAAAGAAACATCCATGTGAGAGAGACACATCAATTGGTTGTCTCCCACATGACCCCAACCAGGGCCGGGGATGAACCACAACTGAGGTATGTGCCCTTGACCAGATTCAAACTGTGGCTCTTTGGTCCATGGGCCGACACTCTAACTGCTGAGCCAAACTAGCCAGGGTTCTATTTAATTTTTTACTTGGGCTGATCATTCACCAAATCAAATTCATGGGAGTCCAGCTGGTGTGGCTCAGTGGTTGAGCGTTGTCCCATGTACCAAGACGACTTCACTGGTTTGATTCCCGGTCAGGACACATGCCCAGGTTGTGGGCCTGATTCCCAGTGGGGGGCATGCAGGAGGTGGCCAGTCGATGTTCTCTATCATTGATGTTTCTCTCTCTCTCTCCCTTGCACTTCTTCTCTCTTTAAAATCAATAAAAGAAAAAAAATTTTTTTTTTTTTAAATTCATGGGATAATAGTAGGTTGAATATAACCCCAGTTTGTTCTAAGGCCAGCTGGGCTTTAATCCACATGCTTGGTCTAGCACCCCCCTGTGGATTGTTGGACAACAGCAAACACTCAGCTGAGGCATGGACTGCCTTCCCCAAAAGATTTGAATTTTTAGGCCTGTGCTTTTCCCAAGAGGAACATTTGCTGATTGTGGCTAAAAACTGAAATGAAGCATTTTTCCTCCTCTAAGACATGTCCTTTTTGGACATTTTAGTAGCAAAAATCAGAGAACAAAAATTTACAAATAAGCAATGGAGCTTTCGTCTGGCTTTTGACCAGAGTTTCCCCCCACTTGTCTTCACAGCTGCTAAGAGGTCACATTATAAGTAGGTGTTAATTGAGCTAACACATGTAAGGAGCCCACCACTGTGCCTGATCAAGAGCCCAAGGAATGTTACTCCCCCACTGCCTCACAGTTAATGAGGATTTCTTGATACATTGAGAGGATTCAGATTTCTTATATCTAAGAGGAAATTTCAAAATGCCTCAGAAAGGTTAAAAAATGTTTTTCAGTCATTTTTCTAAATGTAAAGGAAGTTAGGTGAGTGTGTGTGCCAGCCCACTGGGGCCTGCTGATCATGCAGAGAAACAGGAAGAGACAGAAACACGTGCATGGCTCGGAGAGCTAGGCTGTTTCTGCCTATTTCCCAACATGCCTCCGACCTGCCTCCGGCGGCCAAGGCATGAAGGGAGACCTGTGAATGCTCACGCAGTCCAAGCAGGTTCAGGGATCTCCTCAAAGCTGGTGGCGTAGAGCTGGCCTCCTGAGAATCTAGTAGCAGGACAGCAGCTTTGGGTCTCTCGTTGAGCTGTGGGCAGTCTAGTGAAGATAAGTGTTGGATGCTCAGAAGCATTAAGCCCACATGGCCCCTGCAGACCTTGCCTTGGGATATTTCCTTTTTCCTTCTCTGTGTGCTGCTCTGCCAGGCTCTGGGACCAGCCGATGGCCAGCTTGGGCTAGTGGTATCAGTACCCACTCCTCGCGTGCCCTGGGACCTCTGTGCGGCTCTGAAGCTGAGCCTCTGTCGTGGCTAAATCAGTGGTGACCCACAAACCACATTTTTCTGAGCAGATAAGAAAACAGAACAACATCTTAATATCAGGGAGCGAGGAACAAAGAGTCACCCACTTCGTCTTCACTTTATACTCAAGAAAACCAAGCTACAGTGGATTTTAAATATAGGAGAACCATGTCAGATGGAGATCTGAGGTTGGGTGATAGGAACGGCTCCAGCCTCTGAGCTAGATCTCAGAGGTTAGCGCGTGGCCTTGCTGCTGTAAGGGAGGTCAGACGCAAGGGTGATTTACATATACTTGTTCATATGAACCAAAGGCACTTGTTTCTTGATATTTGTGGGAAATTTTACATTTCACCCTTAAGGGTATTTTGTCACCCAGGCTTTAAACTTCAGCTCTGCCTGTCCAGTGTGGACCCAGGCTCGCCCTCCGGCTGACTTTGCCTAGAGGAAGCTGCTGCTCTGTCCACGGAGCGCCACGGAGCGCCACGGAGCGCCACGGCTCGCCTCGAGCTTGTACCTCTCAGTTTAACACGCAGACAACACGTGTGTGGTGTGCACGTCAGGCCAACACTCCCAGCCACCCATGCGTAGGGGGGGAAGGGGACAACAGAAACAAACCTCTGTGCATGAGGGAGACCAGGGTACCCTGTGGCGCTCCTGAGACACCGGGGAGTCACATGTCACTCTGTGAGGGCTCACCTTTGGAAGCGGCTTCATGGTTTAGGGTTGTTACAAAGGAGCTTCGCTCCTTCCAAGGCTTTTATTTCCATAGCTCGCAGCTGAGAAGCTGAGGCCACATTCAGGGGCACGCCAGGGTCTCACAGCTTTGGCCGATCGAGGATTCCAGCCCGGCGCCTGGATTTCCAGCCCTGCGGGCCTCCCAGCGGACCAGTCTCCGACAGTGGCAATTTCTGGGCACTCACCATCCTGGGAGGCCGTAGGAGGGGAACTTCGTGGGCCTGGTCTTTTGGTGCCTTTGTCTAGAACATACTACCCATCTTTGACCCACCCACCCCAGGAAATCTTCTGCCTAAGTGTTAATATTTATCATTTACAGCTGGCCACTGCCCCCTTTCAAAGGTGAACACAGTAAAATTTATGACAGGCGCGCTATCAGACGACAGAGGAGCATAAAAGGAGTGACGGTTCGTCTATCTGCAGAGACACTTCGTCCGAGGCCTTCGACACCTGGAGGATCCCGGCATGGGGCTGCAGCCACACCTTTTCCTCCTGGGGCTGCTGCTGCTCCTGGGGCGAGGTAAGTCTGCCCGGGGTCCCATGCTGCTGGGACACGGGGCTCGGGAGAGGAACGTGAACCTCTCATAAGCACAGAACGCACAGTTCAGGCCCCAGCAGGCTGTGGGGCCGAGTGTGACATGTGCCGGCCCTGGGCTGTGGGGCCGAGGCAGGTCTTGGGATGGGTGAGAAGGGATGGGTGTAGGGAGTCACAAAGACCTAGACTCTAGTTCTCTGTGTTGTGTGGCCTGGGGCAGGGCCAGATTTTTCTCTCTCTCATCCTTAACATGGAAATGCCACTACTGATGATGAGCAAGTTTTGATCATTCCGTTTATGGTTTTGTTTTTGCTGAAAGGACAGAGGAAGGCACACTCAGGACCACAGGTTCTAAAGGAGGCCCACATCTTCAGTGCTGTTGACTCTGACGGAACAGAGTGGGCTCAGGCAGGGCTTTGGGTTTCTCTTGATGCCAAGGATGAGGAGAAGGTGGTGCCTCTGCCTCAGTCCCTCTCTGCCCTTTGTCATCCCACCCTGGCTGCTGCGTCCAGACGCCAGTTCTGGTCCTTACCTTGGACGAGGCCGTCACCCGCCGCGTCTGGGGCTGTGTGTGCAAGGTGTGGAGGGCGGAGGGGGGTGCAAGGTGGCAGGGGTGGGAGGTGGAGGGGTGTAATGCCTACTACACTTACTGCACAGGTGATTGCATTTTCCTAATTGCTGATGAGGCCGAGGTGCTTTTCCAAAACATGTTTATTGACCATTTGAATTCCTCTTTCATAAAGTACTAGTTCAAGCGTGTTTCCCATTTTTCTGTGGGTTTGTCCTTTTTCTCATTGACTTCAGGAGTTTTCACACATGTTGTGCGCTTGCTCTTTGTTGATTATAAGTATGGCAGATACCATACACTCTGAAGTCTGTCTTTCTACTCTCTTCAGGGAGACTTGAGATGAGCACATTCCTTAATTCGAGGGAAAAATGAAAACCACCCAAATGGAACAAATGGAGGCTGTTTATTCAGAGGTTGCTGTAGCAAAGGGGTCAGCCACGATCACTTGATCACTTATGTCAGGCAGAGACTCCAAGGCGGGAAGGGGGGGGGGGCGGAGCTTGAGAGTGAAAAGGGGGAGGAGTCGGGTGGGCTTTGGTTGGAGGCTGTTGCTACGGGGAAGCTGGAGGCCAGCTAACTAGAGGTGAGGCCTCTTAAGTAGCTTGTTTGGGGAACATATCTGGCTTTCTCTGCTTGGTCCTGAGTTGGAAGCAGGGACAAAGGAGGGAGCTGCAGTCATGGAGCAAGTCCTGGCCGTCGGGGTGGCTGCTGCAGGGGAGGTGGCCAGGGCTCTGTTGTCAGCTGTGGTCCGGCCTTTGTCTGTTGTGTATTCAGTCTATTTCCAAAGTTTTTCATTTTTGCCTTTATGGTTTGTGCTCTTGGCTTCTTATTTGAGAATCCCCCTTCTGCCTTGCAGTCGTGAGATATCCTATACTTCCTTCTAAACACTTTATAAATGTGATTTTCTCTTCTGGGTCTTTAATATATCTGGGATTGACTTTCGCGACCTGTGTAAGAGAGAAAGCCGATGATACAGAATGTTGTGCATGCAGCTGCCTAGCTGTCTTGGCACCATTTATCGAAGGGCTGTTTCCTCACAGCTCTGACAAGCTGCCTCCATCCACACAGGAAGGGCTCATATATGCCTGCATCTGGGGCTAACTGTTTGGCTTTAGTAGGCCATTGGTCTATCCCTGTGCCAATAGCACATTGTTTCAATTCTATAGCTTTCTAATAAGTTTTATTATTTGGAAAAACATGTCTGTTTTTTCTTCTTTTTAAAGAGTGACTTGGCTTTAAACTTTCATGTAAATTGTACTATCAATGCGTCGATTTCTACCAAAAAACACACCTATTGGGATTTTGATAGAATTTGCTTTGAATTTTATGAACCAAATTGGGGAAAATAGAGATCTTTATAATATTGAGTCTTCCAAATCATGAGCATGTACTTAGATCTTTTTTAATGCCTCTCAAAGTCTTATCGTTTTCTCTGCTGAGGTCTTGCATATGTATTGTTAGTTATTCTTAGACACATGACTTTTGTTGTATGTTAACCAGATTAAAATGTTTATCCCCTCCCCCCCCCACCTTCACCCACTGTTGTCTGTGTGCATTGGTTGTGCATATATTCATCTAAGTTCTTTGGTTTATCTCTTCCTGCCCCCTGCTCTCCTTCCCCCTGAGGTTTGTCAGTCCGTTCTCTACTGCCATGTCTCTGGATCTATTTTGTTTGACTGCTTATTTTGTTCATTATATTCCACAAATAAGTGAGATTATGTGATACTTTTTTTTTTTTTTTTTTTTTTATCCTCACCCGAGGACATTTTTCCATTTTTTGTTCAGGTAGAGTGGGAGGGAGAGAGAGGAACAGAGAGAGAGAGAGAGAAACATCAATGTGAAGGGACACATCGAGTGGCTGCCACCCGCACGACCGACCAGGGACGGGGACAAACTGCAACCGAGAAACGCGCCCTTAGCAGGAACCGAACCCGGGTCTCTCAGGACCGCAGGCCGATGCTCTAACCGCTGAACCAAACCGGCCAGGGCGATACTTTTTTAAAAATATTTTTAATTGATTTTATTAGAGAGGAAGGGAGAGAGAGATAGAAACACTGATGTGAGAGAGATACACCCATCAGCTGCCTCCTGCACGCCCCCTACTGGGGACCGAGCCTACAACCCAGGCATGTGCCCTGACCGGGAATCAAACCGCGACCTTTCAGTCCCTGGGGTGATGCTCGATCCACTGAGCCACATCGGTTGGGAAAGAGATTATGTAGTGCTTGTTTTTTATGTGTTGATTTTGAACCCAATTAAACTAATAAATTTTAATGTTATACGTATATTCCTTTGGATTTCCTATATACACAATCCTGCCAATAATGGCAGTTTTTCCACTCTCTTTTCAATCTCTGTACCTTTTCTAGCTTCTGCCTCACTGTGCTGGCTGGTGCTTCCATGACAATTTTTCACAAAAGTGATGGTTGCAAGTATTCTTACCTTATTCCCAAGTTCAAGAACAAAAGTGTTTAATGTTTTGTCAGAAAGCACGGTTTTGCTACTGGCTTTTCTGTAGCTCTTATTTATGAAACTAAGAAATCTCTAGTCCTAATTTTCCAGCAGTTTTTAAAAAATTATAAGCAGATGTTAAATTTTATGTAATGTTTTTCTGTACTTACAAAGATGATTGTATGATTTACTTCTTTAATCTGCTAATGTGGTGAATTAAATGAGCCGACTTCTTATTTTATTTTTTCAGTCATTGCTGATTAGATTTACCAAAGCCCCCTCATTGCAGTGACTTGTCCTGCCTCTTTCCTCTCCTTTCTTCTCCAACAATTCTTTTGCCTTTTTGTTTGTTCATTTTGTGCCATCGAAAATTTTAGGCTGGCTTTTGTCATGCGCACTTCGGTTGGGATTTGTCCTCATTGTTATTGCTAGAAGCAGATTAAACTCTTAGGACAGAAATGCAACATCGATAATGTTGAGTCCGGGCTGTGTCACATTAGGGGTACACCTGGGGCTGGGATGTTAAATTCGATCATTTGGTTATGGTGGTGTCTGTCAGATTTCCCCCTTGTAAGGTGCCATTCCCCATGTGACTTACACGTTACCTGTAGGGAAAGCTAGGGTACCCTGTGATGGTTCTTGCCTGCATGGATTATTACCATGATGAGTATAAAGGTGACTTTAAAATGTCTATCACCTCTTTTAATATTGTTAGTTAGAATTCCTCCATAAAGAAGAGATTCTCTTCTCTTCCCCACTCTTTGTATGTTTTGTCTTCTTAATATGAAATGGACTTATAGCCCTGGCTATAAGAGTCATGGGTTCGATTCCTGCCAAGGACATGTACCTAGTTGCGGTTCATCCCTGGTCCTGGTCAGGGTCGAGCAGGAGGCAACCAGTTGATGTGTCTCTCTCACATTGATGATTCTCTCTCTCTCCCTCCCTCCCACTCTATCTGAGGATAAATAGAAAAATATCCTCAGGTGGGGTTTAAAAAAATAATAATAAAATAAAATGGACTTATAGATTCTTTTCCTAATCATCGTGTATACTCCAGCCATGTCCTTATTTATTTGGATGCTCAAGTTGTTGCAGATTTGGCCAATGTGAGCTCCTTGCAGCTGACTCCTGTGTCCCCATCAATTTCTTAAGCACTTTTTAACCTTATGGAACAAGCTGTTCAGGCTAATCTTGTATTTTTTCTATCTCAGTCATTTCTTCAAGGTTCCACTTGGTAGAATATTTTATTTAGAAACCAAGACCTAGGTGCTAGGGGTGTTCATTGCTGTTGGGGTGTCATTATGTCTAAGCCCTCTCAAGAGACAGAGCCAAGAAATATAGTTTTCTTTTTTAAACAATAAATTTATACAGACATCTCTAATTTTAGTTAGAACTAGTCTTTTGTCTCCTTCCCCCATTTCAGATTTGTATTGGTCTCCCACAGTGCAAACTAGGGTTATAAAATATCAAATTTATTAATTTGCCAAATCCTAAGATACATACACCATAATATTGGACTTGTTACAGAAATAACACCACCACCAACAAATAAAGTGCAACATTTTTTTTTGCTGTTCTTTGCCCTAGACTATATCCCACTCAGGTTACATAATCAAAATACCTTGTTCAAAATCACATGGATTAATTTTTTTCTTTTGTTTCTTTGTGTGGTTATGTTCTCTGTTTAACATATAGTTAAGCTTGACTCTGTTTGTATTCAGTTATAAGGTTTCTCCCATTCTTGTGGATTTCACTTTATTTTTTAAATAGATAACGTGTTAACATGGTTCAACAATCTAAACGATGTGGAAAGATATACTCAGAGAAGTGCCATCCCTCTTCCTAGCCTTTCCATTCCATTCCTACTCATCCCTGTAGGTAACCAATTTCAGTATTTTCTAATCAGTGTTTCTCTTTACAAATATATTCTTATGTTTTTTCCTTTTTGCACAAAGATAACCTACTA